TTCAACAGCCAGAAATAGTTTTCACAGTTTTGTTTTTACGTTTCTTCTGAAAGATGCTGAGGCAAGCTCAGCTGTAAGCAAACCCGGGCGCTGCACAACTTCCAAGAACTAAACTGATGCGCGATGTTCTAAGCACACTATCCCCAAATACCCTACTGAGGAATGGTTCAGCACTGAGTCAGAAGGAAGCGGGCTGAATCACAAATAGCGATTCCTGCAAGCTGCCTTCCCCCCGCCCCCAAGTCCATGATCTAAGCAGTGACCAGGTTGTGGTTAGCTTGGGAAATCTGATGAGATCACAGTCTGGGGAGATACAGCTTCAGACACTTGAGTTTTTGTTAGCCAGCTCCTTGTTTTGCATGGAGACACGGACGGCAGTTGCTCTACCAGGTTCCCCATATGTTTGTAATACTGTTGTTATGGGAATACATGTACAGTCCATGTCACTGGCAAGTTGCGCTGCTTTGTGCTGGAAGGACAAAACAGAACTCATTGTCCAACAGAGCACTGAGCTTAAGCATAGCTCAAGCAAAATTTATCACAGCGTGAGTCACACTCAGTGCAAAACATGTGCTTCGTTCACACGATGCTGTGGGACCCTGCCACGCTGTACACCATCAGGACCCACCTTCTGCAAGACCTCTGGGTTTGAGACCGCTCTTTCTCCAATGGGAGAAGTGAATAAAGTGATAAAGTGAGAACAACTTGAGTACTAACACATGAATCCACATCACAGAGCAAAAATACCTGCTTCCCAAGTACCCCCAAAATGGGCAATGAGCTTGCTTACAGGAATATTGTGTGTGTTTATGTCTGCAAGGCTCTTATCAAAACCACTGTGCCTGAGAAGCCTACATACACCCTTAAGGTGCTGGCAGGGAGCATCTATGGGGCTCACATCTCTGGAGGCACCAGAAGCAACTGAGGCTCTGCCACATCAGAGTGGCACTGAAGAACCGACGAGGACAAACCTTCATGCCTGACAATCCCAAAAAGTGCGAGATGCAAGCGGGAGGAGTGAAATGCGTTTTGTTTACTGTGAACCCCACTGACTCCTGAGCTACTGCTGAAGATCTCAGCCACAAGAGAGGAGCTCACTGGAGCAACATGCAACCAGCTCAAAGGAATACCAATTTACGCATTTAGGCTCCTTTTAGCCGTCTGCAGGCAGTGACAGACATGGCTCCTCTCCCTGCCCCCTCAGCCCTGAGACGTTGCCATTTTCTGTCCCCATTTCATGCAGCCAGGCACATCCCATGCTGTAGTTGAAGTTTAATTGCATATGCACTCTGTGGGGAAGAGCAGCATGGGACAAAGCCGGTCATCCACAAAGGAGAGGGGCAGGAGGCTAAGAATCATTCCTGTCCTCCAGTTACCCTCACTGAACGACACATCTAGGATTTTAAAGTGCATCGCTGATCAGATCTGCAGGTTGTCCTAGAAGGAGAAAAGTGACATAAAATATGCACAAGCCTTCCTTCTGTCCTGACAGCAGGTTGAGTTTTCAGATGATGTGGAAACAGCAGCCTGCTCTCCTCCCCCAACATGGTGTCCTCACGCCTTCGCCTCAGTGCTGCCGCCTCACTGCCTTCTCCAGGGCCCTGCTCCCTCCCCAGCATCCCCACTGTGGCTCTGCCCAAGGCTCCTTGCCACAGCCTTTGTGCCTGCTTAGCCCTTGGCCTCTCCTCTCAACAAACCAAGCAGGGGCCCATTAGTGGTCTCTGTTGTTTGGCACAAAGCAAGAACAAGAAAGGGCATCAAATTGCCTTCTGGGGGCAGAACTTGCCCACGCTGCCAACCCGGCTGCACTCCAGGTAGGTGATCCCAGAGAGGATGGGAAGAGCGTGTACATGTACAATACATCCACGTGCACAGCATGCCAGCCTCTCTGCCAGGTGCAGGCATTGCCTTCCTTCTCTCCTCATCTTCAATAAGAGACACAGAGAGAACCCGAGATCAGCTGTCCGCGTGTATATGTGCATAAAATTTTTATGGCATTGTTTGTGTGTGTGATGTTTGCGGTGTGTATCTGCTCCATCACAGGACTGCTGTAGTGAACAGAAATGCCAAAGTGTGGTACATCTTGGTTTTCAGTCTTGACTGCCCTGTACCTCACATCAGCTCTCGTGCAAAGTTAGATGTAAAATCCTTCTGGTGTCTCACTGATAGAATGAGCTCTGATCCACAGAGAGGAAAACAAGAGAACTGAGCCATGCCTACCAAGAACCATGTTTATAACATGTACCCCTTGCCCCTCCAGAGGGACAGCATGCCACTAATGCAGGTACACCAGCAAAAACTTGCTGCTTCCGAGAACAGGAGTAGAGTACATATGAGAAGCTTGACTTCACCCCTAGGCCTATTTCACTAAAGCTTGGGAAGCATCAGATTTGTCCTTGTTGTTGACAGATTCCAACATAATCAACAGAGATTCACGCTAACAGAAGGTGCCCTACACCACTTACAGACAAGGCAAGCCACACACTCTCTGCCACCAGCCCTCGGGCTTCTTATGAGGAGCTCTCCCTTCCCTTTCTCAGCAGTGAAACACAGACCTCCGCTTCCTTCTGCGCCCCAAAGCCCTGCTGCCCCACATCTGGCTCACCCATGCTCGCCCCTTACTCTGCCCTCACTGAGTTCAAAATTCTCCCTCATTTCCAAGCTGCTCCCAGGTCTCCATCGGCCACCCTTATCCCCCTGCTCCCTACCTGCCAGCACCTCTCCCGCTGGTTTTCCACCAGCACCAAAACCATTAGAGCCGGCGGCACAAGCTCCTCACTGGTCCGCCTGCATGAGGCCAGCATCTCCGTCCCCACCTCACTGCCCAATGAGGCCCATTCCAAGCTTCCAAGCCCAGCCAGAGAGCTCTCCCCTGCCGTGCCCGAAACCCCGGAGCGAGTCTCCCCGCACGCCTCCATCACCGGGCTTCCGCCTGCACAGCGCGGGATGGAGGAGGCATCTCGGAGAGCGCTACACCCAGCCATGCTTATCTGCTTTGATTCTTTCGCTGCTTATTTATTTATTTTGCAAAGGGAGGCAGCGATAGAGAGAGAAGCCAGCTGAGATTTGTGCCTTGCACGTTCTTTTTTTTTGTTGTTGTTTTTTGTGGGTTTTTTTTTTTTTTTTTTTTTTTTTTTTTTCCTCCTGCAGCAGCAGCAACAGCAGCGAGAGCCTCCATCTTCCCCGCCGGATTGAGCGGGGTCTCAGGACGACGGCATCTCCCTCCCACCTCCGCTCCCCTCGTCTCCCGGCAGCGAGGCACCGCTCCCGGCGCCGGCTGCGGGGCACGGCCGCCCGCCCTCTCCCCCTTCGGCTCCCGCTCAGCTCTGCCTGCGTCGGGACGCGGGGACGACGGATTCGCGCAGCCCGTCGCTTATTTTCACCGAAACGACCACAAACCAGCGAAACCCGATGCCAAACTTACAGACCTCCCGAGAGGCGCGGAAAGGCTTTTCGAGGGCAGAACCCCTCCGGGATTCACGGCACCCGGGGCGCGAAACGCAACCGCGCGCGGACCGCCCCCTCCACCCTCCCGGGCCCCGCCGACAAAAGACCCCGCGGGGGCTCCCCGGGCCCGGCCGCCAACAGGTGTGACGCGCCCCGCGTTCCCCCGCCGCCACGGGGGAAACCGAGGCACGGC